CGCCCATGGTATTTCTGTTATTGTTCACATTGTCTTTTTTGAAGTTATGTGGCTTTTACAGGGATGGCGCTGGACTCCTGCTCTTTTGGGAATGATTACTTGCATGGCTATCCAGAGACTGCTTCTAAAGATCTTTACTATTGCTTTTTTGACTAGAGAATTCAAGCAAGATAACTCCAACTGTGCCTGGTGGTCTGGCAAGTGGTACTCTGCAGGCCTAGGCTGGATGACCATGACTCAGCCTCTTCGTGAGTTTGTCTGCAAGCTTGCTGAGGCGTCATACTTTGCTGCAGATTTTGTTCTTGGTCACTGTCTCTTGTTTGTACAGCTCCCACTACTGTGCGTGCCCATGATTGATAGATGGCATTCTATGCTTCTGTTTTGGCTGCGTCCATCCCGCCAAATCAGACCCCCTATCTTTTCGCTAAAGCAAAACAAGCTGCGCAAAAGAATGGTGAAAAAGTACGCATCTTTGTACTTTGCTATTCTATTACTCTTTCTCATTCTCATTATTGCCCCTGCCGCTGCTGGTAAAAGCATGGATACTTCGTCTATCTCCAAAAACCTGCCTGATTTCGCCGATGGTCTTTTCCAACCAGTTGATCAAAATAACAACGACACTGGCGAGAACGCTCCCAGTACAGTCATCACGGTGACACCTACGTTATCGAATTTCTCGACCATGCCTTAAAAACAGAGATAGCATGGTGGATTTTTTTTTTTCGGAAATTTTATTTATTTTATTTTTAAGAGATTTTATACTATATATATATATATGTGAGGTGAATATAAATGCTTAATTGTTGTTGACAAAGTAAAATATAATTATAGTAATTCCTGGCAATCGGAGGAGAACAGATTGGGAATTAATCGTTGCTCTTTACTCTTTTTTTTTTTTTTTTTTTTTTTTTGGCTTTACTTTTGCTTTCCCTTTTAAAGTTCTCCCTTCTCTTGCATCCTATATATCTTCACATTGGCCACTGACCGCCTAGCTACGACTCTCGACTATTAGCAGGCTGGCCACCGACTAACAGAAGCTTTCATTTGAAAATAAAAAAAAATTAAAAAATTAAAAAAATCTTTTTCAGACGTTCTATTTTTTTTAAAAAAAAAAATTTAAAAAACTGATCTTGCTCAAATCGATCGTTCCACTTCCCGGATGGTAGCCTCCAAGACTCTTCCAGGGCAAAAGGATGTTAAAGCCAGTAGTACATCATCAGCGGCCATAAATGAACTGGCCGGATCAACTCCCAAACATGATTCCAAAAACCTACCATCTGTCCGTTACGCATCAGAATTTTCTATTGGCTGCCCTCACACAGAGCAGGTACTTGAAAAAAACATTACAAAGACCCTCCGGCTTTACGAGTTGGCAGTTCGGGTGTCGTTAGAACAGGCATTATCATCACTAAAAACATCACAACCGCCATTGCATAAATCGTCATCCTCACCAGCCACAGTATCACAGTCAGCCAGATCAGTAGCTGGAAAAACATTACCTGGTACTAAAAATTACAGCGTAAGCAAGAAGAGTAAACGAAACTCTTGTAAAAAGCGAGCAAGTCCTCCAAAGTTTTTTTTACTCTGCGATACATGCAAGTCATTTGGCTCTACTGCCATTCTTTGTTTGGAATGCTCGTACACTGGCTGTTTAACGCACTACAAACAATTTCATTTTCCCAGCACTGGTCATGCCCTTGGGGTTGACATGGCAACAGGCTGCGAGGGCCTCTTGTTCTGTTCAGCCTGTAAGGACTATGTTTACGACGAGACGTTCGAGAAAATTAGGTTGCAGAAGATCCAGCAAATGTTGGGTATGGGGTTCATTGACGGAGTCCCCGCCGGCGCATTGCAAACTAGCAAAATTATCAAAACGGAGTATAATAGTTTGTCCGCGCAGGAGACTTCACATGACAAATTTACAGACTCAAAAGCAATGATTCCGCTGTTTCCTACCGGTACATTGCTTCGCGGGTTTTACAATATGGGTGCAACTTGCTTCATGTCGGTAATATTCCAATCACTATTACACAATCCGTTGATTCGAAACTTTTATCTTTCCGGCGGACACGAGCGCGGGGTTCGATGTGGCGGAAATGCAGAAGCTGCTACGATTGATCTGGGCTTCCAGCGCAGCGAAAGTGAAAGCCGTATTAACGGTAATGGATCGGTAAAGGAGACTGGAAACGTCCGAGCAAGTAAAAAAGGTTCCACGACAGTTAGTGGGAACAATAGTACAGTAAATGGCACACCAATAACAATGGACAGTCCCTCGGTAAACTGTCTCTCATGTGCACTCGATGATGTTTTTGCTGAGTTTTTCACTTCGTCTTCGGTCGCTGGATATGGCCCAACAAACCTTTTGACAACTTCGTGGCGTGTGAAGCAGTCACTCGCGGGGTATTCGGAGCAAGATGCACATGAATTTTTCCAAATGGTCCTGAATGAACTGCATGCAACGCACTATGACTCTAGTGTGCTTGCAAATGGTGCTTCATCGACTCTTGAAAAGATTGGCATGCCAGGTGAGCTGCCCGGCACATTTCGCAGTGTTGAGGACGTTAATATTCAAAATTGCGGCTGTATTAGTCACCGCACCTTTTGTGGCATCCTTGAAAGCAATATTACCTGCCAGGTCTGCGAAACTGTTGCGAGCACAGTCCATGACCCCATGATGGATATATCGCTGGAAATTGGTGCACCAGAAAAGGGGGATCAGCTATCAAACGGCAGTAGTGCTGTTAGTGGAAAAACTGTTCCGGGAGGCACGAAGACAAGCTATGGTAGCAACGAAAGCGGTAAAAGCACAGGTCGTGCCACCCCGACGCCAGTCACTCTTGCCCAGTGCTTTGACAGGTTCACAGCCGGCGAGATTCTTGATGCAACTTTCAATTGTGTAGCTTGCGATGCTACCCGACAAATTCAAAAACGGCTTTCCATAAAGCGTCTCCCACCTGTGCTCAGTATCCAGCTGAAGCGGTTCCTGCATACGGGCTCATCGAGCAAAAACGAGACTCGCGTTGATTTTCCACTAGTATTGGACATGAATAAGTATACCACGAACGGTGCCGATAAAACAAGTGCAAATCCACTCTTTTACGAGTTATTTGGCGTTGTTTGTCATCAGGGCTCTCTTAATACAGGGCATTATACCTGTATGATGAAATCCAATTCTGGTCGTGTGAGTATCCAACCTCTTTTTTTTTCTCTCTTGATTCTTGTGCTAACTTTTTTTTCTTGTTCTTGTTTTAGTGGTTTCATTTCGATGATGCAATGGTAACCACGATTTCTGCTGAAAACGTTGTCAAAGCCAACGCCTACTTGCTTTTCTACATTGTGAATCAAGTACCAGTCAAATAAACCAAGCATTTGGTCTTATTTTTTTTCATATATGTATATATTATTTTTTTTCTAGCTTTTCTCTCTCTCTCTCTCTCTCTCTCTCTCTCTCTCTCTCTCTCTCTCTCTCTCTCCCTCTCTCTCTCTCTCTCCCTCTCACTACTTTTTCGTTTTAAGTACAACGAATCGTCCAGTGAAGATATACGGACCCTGCTAGATCAGGCGCCATTAAATCGGGAAGAGAGAGACCAAAATACATTAAAACAAATCACACATACCTGTTTTATATATTTATTTTGTTCAAAAAAAATTTTTTTTTTTTTTTTTTTTTTTTGTTTGATCTATAGGTCTTTTTGTTCATGTCTTCTTTGTATATCGTTTTGTTTTGTAAATTTTATGTAACTATTTGATGTAAGGACAATAAACTGATTAT